TCAAAGCTTTTTCCGCGTAACAATATTCATCCTGATTCGACATACGAAATGCTCACTTCAATTATAATTTACTTGGAACAACGTATGATCGTGTTGATTGAGATAACAACGTATTTAGTCATGAGAATAATTTTGATTTTTGAGTAAACCAACGAATTCCTGGAGTTAGCAAACTTTTGGCTAGAAAGAAATCAAATACTCTCATTATTGCGACAAATAAAAGGAACTTCAATTCCAGAGAACTTCGATTTCTCCCAATCAAATGTATCTCAAGAAGAGATAAATGGTATTCACTATGAAATCGTGTTTATTTGAAAATTAACAACCGAATAATAGTGGGGCCAAATAAATTTTTCTTGATAAAATCAATTTTTTCTGTCAGTGTAACTCTTTTTATACTTCTGCTCGCAAATCTCTGCAATCGACCAGCAATGAACGCAAATGACACATGTGAAGTGGGTAATCTCGCCCTTCCATCCTTGTTTTTACTTCCACAACAAAACAAAATAAAAAAAACAACTCTTATCGAAGCCGTTGTTATCACCGTCCACAACAAGTCAACTCCTCAAGAATACCTACGCCGCAAATATCCAATAACTACTTAATCCAATTTGAAGCCATAAACTGCGCTAAAAAACAACGAAACAAACGTGCGAGACGTGTCGAGTATTTTCTCTCACCCATTCAAGCGCATAATACGTCCTAAGTGGATCCAGTTTCAAGTGCTACTCGATCCACCTGATCCTTTCAATTATCTCGTCTCTCTACTTTCCCTCATATATAATGCGCACACGGACGACGGATTAGATCCCTCAATGAGTTCGCCGTAAATGAGATCGATAGGTTCATTCATGAAATTCCGTGTATACTCAGCCAAGATAAATAACTCGTCGTGTTGTCAACAATTGATGAATAGACTTCATTCAACTCGCGATTTATTTTCATTCTTCAGGTTTATTTTCATTCCAGGGTTTACTGGAGTGCTAGTGCACGTGGACGCGTCTAATAAGAAGGATCTGATGACGTGTTGTTATTAAATCCCTTTTTGTTTGGTAACTGCACACTTTTTAAAATTTTTGTCTGAATTTTCCGGTACAATTTTTGGTAATTTTTATCGAATTCAATTACCACCGAAATTTCAAGGAATTCCGTCATTGAAAATTCAGAATTTCGTGGAAAAGTCACAGAGAACTGTAAATTTCAATTCCATTTTCCCCTGAAAATGAATAGAAAACCAGAAAATTCCGGTAAATGTATTCTTGAATTTTCAGGACTGAATGCGATTTTAGGGGAAAAATAATGAAAGTTCAGATTCCCCTGAAAATTCAATGTAATTTGGCGCTGAATGTTCATATTAGATTGGAAATTTAAATAAATTAAAGAATTCTCGTCTTTATGCTGTTTAAAATTCTGGAATTTTACTGAATTTTTAGTGAAACCTGAAATTTCGGTAGCGAAGCAATAAACAGGTTCAAGTCGATTTAGACTATTGGTCAGTTTTTAATGAATATCTCGGAACCTAAGGGAGATAGCAATTTTTTTATGAAGATCTTTTCTGTAGCTCTCAATTCGCCCTACAAAAAATGTCATGATGAAAATTTCGCTGGTTCGCTTAGATTTAGACATATTCCTCGAAAACTCAGCGAAGAGCTAAGTCGACTTAAACAGGTTTGCCGCTTCGCTACTGATTTCATGATTGTTTTTCCCTTAAATCGCATTTAGTGGTCAACTGTCCATGAAATTTCATTTTTTTGTAACAATGCATCATTAATGAAGGTGTTATATTCAAATTATGACTCGTTGCAATTCGTATGAACTAACCTAGACAGATAATTAGAGAATGATCGATAGAAGCAGGGATTTTGAAAGACAATGTGAGGAGACATTTCAAGTAGATAACTTGCTCAGGTACGAAGAAGGTAATCTGACATTTCTCCCTCAATTCGCTAATTCCTGAGGTAATTCCGAAATTAGTGGAGATGTCACATTCGATTCGATGGGGTATTTGAGGCCGTTAATTACGAAAGTATCTCGAGGAAGACTGATTTTTGAAGAAAATGCCTGGAAACATTCTTCGCAGACAATTTAATCATAAAAAACGTGTTATCAACAACTGATGAAAAGACTTCATTCAACTCGTGATTTATTTTCATTCTCCAGTTTCAACCCATTCACCCTCCTTCATTTTTCTCTATGTTTATTTCCATCTCAAGATTCGTAATTCCCTCACATCCAAATCGGGGAGATGGAGGAGTGGAGTATACTCAAATCAAATTCCACGTTGAACCCGTCACATAAAAAGGAAGTGTTGATGTTGCGAAAGAGCTGTTGTTGTTCTAAAAATGCTAATTTTTTACCTAATTGCAATTGATTTATATGAATTTTCCGAGTTTATAAATTAGAAAATGTGAGAAGAGATTCTTTATTTCGTCAATTGTTAATGTTAGAAGTTGTTTTTCTTGACCTATAATGATGATGATGATAAAGTTATTGGCTTTTGCGGGCATATAGCAGTCTCGAAGGAGAAAAAAGACGACAATTTTTAATTTAATGGAACAAAAGCCCCACGTTTCCGTTGCCTGATCAAATTATGAACCTCGATTCATAATTCGGTTAGTTGTTAATTGCATTTGATTCATATGAATTATCCCAGTTTGTGAATTAGGCATTAATCATAGGAATGAGGGATTTTACGAGAAAATATGAGAAGACATTCCTTATTTTGATTCTTGAGAAAGAATTTTTCAAGGAAAATTCCCGGAACGATTCTTCGCAGACAATTTAATCACCAACAAGAAACCGTGTTATCAACAATTGATGAATAGACTTCATTCAACTCACGATTTGAATTCATTCTCAAGTTTCAACCTACTCATCCTTCATTTTTCTCTATTTTTATTTTCATCCCAAGGTTTATAATCCCTTCACATCCGAATCGGAGAAATGTCGCGAGTGAAGTTTATTCAAGTCCAATTGCAATTGATTCATATGAATTATCCGAGTCTACAAATTAGAAAATGTGAGAAGACATTCCTTATTTTGGTTCTTGAGGAAGAATCTCTTAATGACAATTCCCGGAACCATTCTTCGCAGGCAATTTAATCACCAACAAGAAACCGTGTTATCAACAATTGATGAATAGACTTCATTCAACTCGCGATTTGAATTCATTCTCAAGTTTCAACCTACCCATCCTCCTTCATTTTTCTCTATTTTTATTTTCATCCCAAGGTTCATAATCCCCTGACATCCGAATCGGGGTGATGGGGGAGAGTGAAGTTTATTCAAGTCTAATTGCAATTGATTCATATGAATTATCCGAGTCTACAAATTAGAAAATGTGAGAATACATTCCTTATTTTGGTTCTTGAGGAAGAATCTCTTAATGACAATTCCCGGAACCATTCTTCGCAGACAATTTAATCACCAACAAGAAACCGTGTTATCAACAATTGATGAATAGACTTCATTCAACTCGCGATTTGAATTCATTCTCAAGTTTCAACCTACTCATCCTTCATTTTTCTCTATTTTTATTTTCATCCCAAGGTTTATAATCCCTTCACATCCGAATCGGAGAAATGTCGCGAGTGAAGTTTATTCAAGTCCAATTGCAATTGATTCATATGAATTATCCGAGTCTACAAATTAGAAAATGTGAGAATACATTCCTTATTTTGGTTCTTGAGGAAGAATCTCTTAATGACAATTCCCGGAACCATTCTTCGCAGACAATTTAATCACCAACAAGAAACCGTGTTATCAACAATTGATGAATAGACTTCATTCAACCCGGGATTTGAATTCATTCTCAACTTTCAACCTACCCATCCTCCTTCATTTTTCTCTATTTTTATTTTCATCCCAAGGTTTATAATCCCTTCACATCCGAATCGGAGAAATGTCGCGAGTGAAGTTTATTCAAGTCCAATTGCAATTGATTCATATGAATTATCCGAGTCTACAAATTAGAAAATGTGAGAATACATTCCTTATTTTGGTTCTTGAGGAAGAATCTCTTAATGACAATTCCCGGAACCATTCTTCGCAGACAATTTAATCACCAACAAGAAACCGTGTTATCAACAATTGATGAATAGACTTCATTCAACCCGGGATTTGAATTCATTCTCAAGTTTCAACCTACCCATCCTCCTTCATTTTTCTCTATTTTTATTTTCATCCCAAGGTTTATAATCCCTTCACATCCGAATCGGAGAAATGTCGCGAGTGAAGTTTATTCAAGTCCAATTGCAATTGATTCATATGAATTATCCGAGTCTACAAATTAGAAAATGTGAGAAGACATTCCTTATTTTGGTTCTTGAGGAAGAATCTCTTAATGACAATTCCCGGAACCATTCTTCGCAGGCAATTTAATCACCAACAAGAAACCGTGTTATCAACAATTGATGAATAGACTTCATTCAACTCGCGATTTGAATTCATTCTCAAGTTTCAACCTACCCATCCTTCATTTTTCTCTATTTTTATTTTCATCCCAAGGTTCATAATCCCCTGACATCCGAATCGGGGTGATGAGGGAGAGTGGAGTTTATTTAAGTCCAATTGCAAGTTGGACCCGTCGCCTTATCAAATCCCCTCGGTCCTTTTACTCTACTCGAATACGATCAATGGATGAATGGAACAAACTAACAGACACTAATACACGAGCGCTTGCGTCAAGTTGCGTACGGTTTAAATGAGCACGTTCTTTTTTCAGATCGTACTCAAACGTTTGGGGGATTCAGGCACTTCAGGCGGCTGATGAAGAAATAAAATCTTCGTCTAGTTCAAATAGTTTCCTTTATTTTAATAAAATCTTTCTAGTGTCACCGAATTTTCGGAAGTCAATTTGCCTATTCAGACGAGTTCGGATGATCTGGGAACGGAGATTATTGGGGAATTGAGCCTTTGGGGGCTCTGGGGGATTTTGACAGCTCCGGGGGTTGGGATTAATGCGGATATGATTGAAATTGAAGGCATGAGCGCTCACTCACCGACTCCGTATTTTGTTGTTTTAGTTGTTGTCCACATTGTTGGAGGTAATTTTTTTCATTCACTTGCGGTTACATATTTGATGGGGGAATTTTTAATGACACTTTGGAATTTTTCACATCACGAGTTTATTGGAAATAACTGAAACATTTGGGTGTGTTGCTGATGGCATGTAGGCACGGCGAAGTGCCACACTCGGTACTGTTTGTGAGCGCCCAGCGTTGCCGCTTCTGACGTTTTCCATGTTGATGTTTTAGCGCAATTGCCGGCAACAATGGCGGACACCGGTGGGAGAGAGTCACGTGATTGTTTTGGGAGGGAGTTTTGAATTTCATTGTTGGGGTCTGGGGGATTGTTGGAAAATTTCGTGCTCAGTGATTGAATCAGGACTCGAGAACAATAAGACTCCCTTTCCGTTTCACAAAAATACAATAACAAAATTAACAAATATATATCTAAAATAATGAATTAAGAATAAAATAAAATAAATGATTGTAAGGTCATGAACATATTTACAAAAAACGAAAATCATTAAATACATGTCACAACCAATCAAACAACATGAAACCCCAAATTAGAGACCAAGTCCGCGTGAAGACTGTAAATCAATATTAATTCAAAATGATAGGGGAGCATGGGGCAAAATGAAACACGGGGCAAAATGAAACAGTGGGAAAATCTCGTCATCTAAAGGAGATAGGACATTTTTGAAGAGGACCTTTTTTGTAGCTTGTAAAATTCTCTACAAAAAAGGCTTCCATGAAAATCCTCCTATCTCCCTTGGATCACAAGATTTTCTTGCTGTTTCATTTTGCCCCGTGTTTCATTTTGCCCCACCGTCCCCTAGAATCTTGGCAATACTTTTCAGATATGTATCAATCTCATCACGATTGTAGGTTTCAACAACAGCTTTAAGGCGAAGATCACAATCACCGTAAGCTTTTTTCCCCTGAGCAGAAATAACATAAAATAGAATAAAAACACAGAAATTGGTGCAAAGAAAAAAATTCTGAGCGGCAATGTTCCGGGAAAAAGGATCCGGGCACCTAAATAACGAATCACCTCGTGGTTCAACGAATTTATTTTTAATAAATACAATTAATCGATCGTACAGAGCCGAGGGCGTCGTCCCCCTCAAGATGATCAACCTTCCTTTATTATTCAAATTATTTACAACCCACCAATGTCACGGGTCTGAGCGAAAGTGCAATGTCCATTGAATTTCACAAAAGTGCTCCAATTACTCTCTCATCTCTGCTCATCGTCCTTCTCTTCAGACTAGGGGTTAAAGGCTAAGTAAAAGATGAATTTCACTTTTCTGTCGTTTGAATTCTTCGATGAAGTCGCTTAAAAGTTGATGGGTTTGCCGAAGTAGGCGGCGAGGTGAGCTTCCCTGAGGGCCTCAGAGCACGTGGGATGGGCGTGACAGACTCTCGCGACGTCCTCAGCACTTGCACCGTACTCCATCGCGAGAACAGCTTCATTGATGAGCTCACCAGCAGCTGGCCCAATCATGTGGACCCCCAGGATCTTGTCGGTGCTGCTGCAGGCCAGAACCTTGCAGAAACCGTCCGTCTCGAGGTTTGTCTTGGCTCTCGAGTTTGCCATGAAGGGGAATTTGCCCACTTTGTAGTCGATTCCTTCTTTCTTGAGGTCCTCCTCGGTCTTGCCGACCCAGCCCACCTCTGGGTGGGTGTAGACGACACTTGGGACGCAGTTGTAGTCGATGTGAACAGCACCTGGTGATTGGAAAAATATTTTTTATTTAATATTTCTTGACGAATTGGTGAGATTTCGGCATTTCTCTTTCAATTTTTAACTGATTTCAGCCGGCCATCCTTACATTTTATATACAAAGTGTTTATGTATTTGTGTTTGTGTACTTTCATGGAATTCTGGAGGGAATGAGTATTTTTTTAGCTCTTACCGCCAGCAATGCCTTCTACTGTGATGATTCCCTCATCCTCAGCCTTGTGAGCCAACATGGGTCCGTGAATGCAATCACCAATTGCATAAATACTGTAAAACGATTTAAATAACTCAATTATTCGATAAAAAGGATTTTTAGGACTCAAATTATTCAAGCATGACTCTTCCAGCTCAAAGATCTCGATGTAAATAGTTGAGAATGGGGGACTGAACATAGTTTGTCAAAAGTAAAAGTGGATTTTAATATTGGTTAGCCTTTTGACAGGATTTACTAGCTGAATATTGAGATATATTAGACTGTAAAAATGTAAAAGTGTAAAATGTATATGCAATTTCTCTCTTTAACATGTAACACGTTTGTATTCGTAAATATATTTTATATTTTGTGGAACAAAGGGAAGGGGAAAAATTTTAAAACCGGAGAGGGTATACATCTGGACCAAATAAATTATTCAAGCATGAAATATCGTAATAGAACTAATTGACTGTGTTCCGTTGATTCTGTAAAGGTGAGATTACAGCAGAACATGACTAACGCCAGGAATATTTGTCGATTATTTTAGAGTTATTAAGGATACCCTTGAATTGAAGGGATTCAGTTCAGTAAATTTCACGATTTACACAACAGTTCTTCTCATATTTCTCTCTAAAAAGTATATTTAAAGATAATTCCATAATTGACAAAGAAACATGATTAAAAAATGACACCTTTGACAATGAAGAACAGGCACTCAAATATTTTTTAACGGGCTGATTAAAGCAGACGAAAACCAACTCTAGAAATATTTTCAGACCATTTCAGAATTATTAAGGTTCTTCACATGAAGAACTTCTGATCCATAAATTTCATGATTTACACAACAGCTCTCCTCATATTTCTCTCTCTAAAGAGCATTTTATTATTATTATTATTATTATTATCGTTTATTGGAGAAAATTTAGAATTTTTAGAGGTAATTTTATAATTACAGAAGAAACACGATTAAAAAATGCCACCTTTGACAATGAAGAACTGGAATTCTCAAATATTTTTAAAAAGGCGATTAAAGCCGACGTAAACGAACTCTAGGAATATTTGTGGACGGCATAACAGTTCTCCTCACAATTCACTCTAAAAAGTCTTTTAATTTTTTTATTGATAATTTCATAATCAACCAAGAAACATGATTAAAAAATGACACCTTTGACAATGGAGAACAGTAATTTTCAAATATTTTTTAAATGCAGAGATATTTATCAAGTTGTACTTCCCCTGAAAAATCTCATATCTTATAGCAACATAAAGAAAGCCTTTGGACATTTTTCTAAACTCAATCAGTATCAGATATCTTTACAAAATACAGCCCCTGGAAATTCCCCATTAGATTAGCGCCACGAACGATCATTAATTTTATTGAATCCACTATTTGATTTAAACTCACTTGGGTACTACAGTCTGGAATCTGTTGTTAACCGGCACTCTTCCCTTCTCGTCCCTCTCAATCCCCAAATCCTCGAGTCCCAAGTTCTGAGTATACGGCCTCCTGCCCACACATACCAGCAGAACATCGCAGCCCAGAGTCTCTGTCTTGCTGGGATCCTTGGCATCCTCAATCGTCACATCAATTCCATCGCCGGTTTTCTTAGCTGCTGTCACCTTGTTCCCAAGTTTGAAAGTGAGTCCCTGTTTGGCGAGGACCTTCTGGAGAGTTTTGCTCACTTCCCCATCGATTCCTGCACCTCCTATCGATGGCATGAATTCAACAGCAGTGACTTCTGATCCCAACCTTTGGGAGAAAGTAATTTATTCAATAAAAAATGGGATTTATTGATATTAAACATTTGGGAATAACTTCTGGGGGTCAGGACGGCGTCAACAAAATTATTCCAGCAAATGACGACGCCAAAATGCCGAGTGATAATGAATTAAGCATTAATTGGGGGAAATTATCGACTTATGAATAATAATTCATCATTATTTTATTGTTATTGTAATGCATTTCAGAATTATCCTCTTAAGGATATCCAAGTATTTGGATCATTTTCTTCTGCTGAAATAGATTTCAACATTTACCATTTAATATTAGAGCTTTCATTCACTCTTATTAATTTATTTTTTTATTTTTAACGGAATTTATTGCAAGGAAAATGCAAAGAAAATTATTTTCTTACAATAGGCCACCGCCTGAGGGCCTTCAGTTAACAGTCTTATCATTTAACTGAAGATCTAAACTTAATTCTCTCTCTGATAAAAATTTCAAAAATCTGGAGAAATTATGAAGGATTGCTCTTTGAGAAAGATTCCTGAAATAATCGGAAAATGAAAATGTTAAAGACTACGTTTTCCCATCAATAATTTCTAAACATTCAATTCATTCTAAAAATATTTTTCGAAATTCTCATAAATTCTTTAAATTCCGAAATTTTACTAAATTTAGATTTCATTGCGAAAAAAATAAGGTTTAGAGAGAAATTATAAGAGAGAAATGTTGGAAAAAAAACAATTTTCAAGATAAAATTTCAATGACACTGATTTTTTTAGAATTTTTCTATTATTTCGTGGATGTGAAAGAATTATTTTTTAGTTATTTATAATAAGTACTGACCAATCATTATTGATCAATAATAATCAATCATCATTATATCATGATACTAATGAACGTCTCCTAAAAATCACGAATTAACGTCTCGCCAATTGCAAAATATCATAAATTGAAATTAAAATTGAATTGAAATTAGAACTGAAATTGAAAAAAAGTGTCAATATTTTATATTAAAATCCCTCATCATGAGATAATTTTTAAATGAACAACTGAAGTTTTGAGAATGAGAATAAATTGTTTGTAGATACCTTTGCCAGACAGATCCCAATTCGAGCCCAATAACCCCAGCACCGATGACAATCAGTCTTTTGGGTACTGGATTTAACGAAAGAGCCCCTGTGGAAGAGACAATGGTCTTCTCGTCCACCTCGATTCCAGCGAAAGGAGTCACCTCGCTCCCAGTGGCAATGATGATGTTTTTGGTGTTGATGGTGGTCTCCACAGAACCGTCAGGCCCCAGAGCACTCACTTGGTTCTTCCCCGTTATCTTCCCATGCCCCTTCACCCACTCGACTTTGTTTTTCTTGAATAAACCGGCGATTCCCCCCGTCAATGCCTTCACCACGGTGTCCTTCTGCTCCAGAAGCTTGCCAAGGTCCAATTTAACGTTTTCAACTGTGAAAATATTTTGGTAAAAACCGGTGTTTACGCTTGTGTTATGAGTCGACTCTTACATTTCTTTAAATTATGGAATTATCTCTGGAGGATAATCTATTCTCATCAAACTCATGTCGTAATTAGCAATATTTTACGAATTACAGTCCATTATTCGTGAAATACATTCGAAATTATTGTTGAAATATTTTGTAAACTAGTGAGAGTTGGGATTGAAACATTAATAAGCTCTTTTTGTAAGTGAGAAAGATTCGAAAGAAGCTTTTTGGTATTTTCGTCTTTAACACAGTTCGACAAAATTCGGATGCATTCGACCTCGAAAACGAAACCGACCTCATATTACAGATATTTTAATGCTGATTTTCAATTTCTTTTGAGAAATTTTTCTAGCACGTCTAGTTTTCGAGAAAAAAATGTTGAAAAATGGCTGAACTGAACAATTTTAAAAAGTTGTAAAGAAATGAATTTAACCGTAATTTTTTCCAGAAAAAACTATGAGTTAATGAAAATACGATTTGTTTAGATGATTCGATTTCATCCCAATTCGTTGAGTCAAATCCAATCGGGGAGTGAAAAAAATCCTGACAAAGTCCCAATTTCATGGTTTTTCTTATGAAATCAAATGATTTTTATCATGGAAAATTGATTGCTTGCAAATTATTTATAAAAAATGCTTTCAATTTTCCAAAATTGCGAATTTTGAATCATTTTACCAATCTTCCTCCAAAAGTAAACTTTCTAGTTTTCTTCTCAGATTTTTTAAATGTTATCTAACGGTTCAATGTCAAGATTCCAATTCAGACCTGCAAAATTTAAATAATAAAACCATTGTAAATGTCCGGAAAAGTAGGGTCAAATGAGGCTCAAATGAAAGCTCTGATGTTCTATTACAAATGTGTAAAAGCATTTCAATGAAGAAAAAAAAGAAAGTACTTGGATATCCTCAAGTTGATTGGAATCAATATGTTCTTGTTCAAAATGTTCTATGTTCACGTATACGAATTTCTTCTTAGTATTACTATAGAAATTCGCATAAAAAAAATAAAATAAAAATTTCTATAGATTACTAAGGAGGAATTCGTGGGAAGCGATGAAAACTTCTATTGAAAATCCATTATTTTTTTTTATTGCAAAGGGCTGGAGATCCAGCGAAAACTCCGAAAACTTGCATTAGAAAGCGAAGGATTTTCCATAGAAATCTATCCAGACTTCCATTAAAAGACCTTGAAAAATTCGCCGAAATCCATGAAAACTTCAATTGAGAATCGTCATCATCTATGCGATTTCTCTTTCAGACATTTAGGAGTAAAGGATTGACATCTCCTTTTTAAATAAGAGAGTATAAATTCTCACCGATGACTCCACGGTTGTTCAAGTCCCCACTATGTGCCATGTGATAATAATGTGAATTATTGAGAAGTGATTTCGATGGGATACACCCAACATTGAGACAGGTTCCTCCAAGAGTTGGATTTTTCTCGACACAAACAGTCTTCATGCCGAGTTGAGCTGCTTTGATAGCAGCAACATATCCCCCAGGTCCAGCCCCAATGACCACGACATCAGCATCGATGGAGCTGGCATATCTCCTCTGCTGCATCGCCGATATCGTGGGGTTGACGACACGTTTGACAACTGCAGGCTATTAATGAAATAAAATCATCATCCTCAGCTGGATTAATGCAACGATCTGTCAATCGACAGTCGATGCTAGTTCACGTGATATTTGGGGATTATTTTTGGAGTTTTATGCAGCATTTGCCCTTCATCTGGCGCCGAAGGAGTTCGCTTGAAGGTTATCTTCAACATTGAGAGGGAATTGAAGACGTTGAATGAATGATCGACTCACCCTGACTGTTGTCATCATGCTCCAAATGTTCGCCTGCATCCTGACGAATTTTTATACTCCTTCGTTTTGATTCAGGGGAGAGAGAGGATTCGCAGAGGAAAATCGAGACACCAAAGGACAGTGAGCGCACAGTCTCTCTCTCTCGCTCGGTCCTCCGGTCGTTTCGTAATCTTCATTCGCTTTCGATATCTCGAGAAATCGTTTTAGTTTGTTCGTCGAGTGGTAGATGGGGGGATTCCCCTTTGTAATGAAGTTTTCGTTCTTATCGAGGTCAAGCGGCGAGGGATAGATGGCAGTGAATGTCAAAATAAGTGGACAATGAAAGATCTCAATGCATCTTCTTCAGGACTTTGGAAAATGAAGGCGGGAAAAAAATCCAGGAAAATACCGAGAAATCTTCGTGGAATATTCCGCGCAATTTAGATAATCTTCATGAGAATCTCAGGGGAAAAAATGTCGAAAGAAAACAGTTTATAAACGAGTGATTTGCCATCATTTACATTGTGAATGTGACATATTAATTCCTTTTTTTATTGATCCGTTGGAGTTTTCTTCATTCGCATTATGAAACAATGTCGAGTAGTTATGCGCACGAAGAAAAAAAATCATTGTATCCGGTAGAAAATTCTAGCGACCACTTCAAAGATGGTGTTGAGTATTAGATGTTGAAATAAATTAATTTCGCCCGCTAACTATATTTACCTCAACGACTCACGTGGAGTTTGGATATACTACTTCAAGTCGGGGAAAATCGACGGGATTTTTTAACAGGATCAGTAAAAAAATGGTAGAATTTTCTAAAGAAATTCAATTTTCCAGCGAACGCGATGGGCTTTCCTACATTTTTTCACAGTTGTATTAAGAAATGAATGATAAATTCAATTATCATTTCATTATAGGGGGCTACGCTATATAACTATAACCCCATGATCCTTATTCTGACCGTTGTGACCCTTAATCTAACCCTCGTGACCCTCATACCCCTTGTGATTCATATTGTGATTCTTCATTTCTAAATCGTAATTCTTAATTTCGATTATCAAATTTTCATCACCAGAAGTTGCTTTGGATTTTATAGTACAGAGAGATAGAGATCCATATTTTTATCCTTGGGACCCTTAGTTTCTGACCCCCATGACCCTTATTGTCACTCTTAATCTGACCCTCGTTAGTCTCATTCGGATAGTTAATCTGACCCAATTGACCCTTGTGAACCGTAATCTGACCTTCGTGACTCTTATTTTGACCCTCGTGACCCTTATTCTGACCATGATGACCATTGGTTTGCCCTTCGTAACCCTTATGACGCTGATTCTGACCCTCATGACCATTATTTTGACCCACATAGTCCTTCTTTTGACCTTTGTCACCCTTAATTTTGAACTCGTAATATCGAGTACCAAATTTTCATCACCAAAAGTCGACTTGGATTTTTATAATATAGAGAGATATGTTGAGAAATTTTACTTCTATATCTCAATTTTTCTTTATCATTGATCTCAAACATTAAATTAAGATAAAATTACGTTAAAACATTGCGTTAAAAATTGCGTTATACATGCATGTATATCGCAATTATTTATCGTCAAAAACAATAATGCGCACTGAATCTTCACAACGGGGTTATCCATTCTATATCAATTTCAAGATATATTCCTCCCATCCCCGCGATAAAATAAATAACCACTGAAGACGGAAAGCCCCTCAATAATGAAAAACATCCGACACTGCCCGAAAGAACGATGGCAACTTCTCCCAAATGATTATTCCCTCCTCTAAATTCAAGGTTGAACATCACACCATACTGAGGGTCATCAGATCATCCAGATAATTCGTCCAAATATTTATTTCCTCTCGAAAATAGTCACAAATGTGTAGACTCATTTTTTATGTTAATTTCGCTTTGATGACCTCTGCCAAATGAAGCATGCTGAATATCCCTTGTTATCTGGTGCAGAACAGAAAACAATGAAACTGACGAGCCGAAACAGACGAAGGAACAGAGCACAACAAACTCCCTCCAGACGATACCAATTTGCTGTGACTTTCACATATCATTTATTTACATGTTTTTTTCTTCCTATCGAACAAAAAATCGTCTCGCGACGAAGACTAAACAGTAAGTAGGCATGATGATATATTTGCGCATATAAAATACATCAGTAGAAACACTTTCTGCGTTAATTGTATTATTTTTTTGTGATTTAATTGAAAAATTCCGCAGCTCTTCTGTGCGTTTTTCGAAATAGAAATGTTCAATTGAAATAGTATATTTCGTTACTAGTGCGGAAATAGTATATTTTGATACGATTGCGGGAAAGTGTTTTTGGACTCGTGGGAGGTTTATAGCACGAGCCGAAGGCGAGTGATATAATCCCATGAGTCTAAAAACCCTTTTCCCACGAGTATCGAACCCTATTTTTCATCACAATGTGTGGGAAGTGGGGTTTTGCGCACGCGGAGCGTGCGTAAAATGTCACTTTACACATAGCGTGATGAAAAGAGTTTTTTCGCACATTACTCGTCTTCGGCTCGTGCTATAAACCTCCCACGACCCAAAAAACACTTTTCCCACGAGTATCGAACGATATTTTTCAGCACAATGTGCGGAAAAAAGACGTTTTAGGCACGCGAAGCGCCTAAAAAGTTTCTTTTTCGCACAGCGTGATGAAAAATATTTTTCATTACTTGTGCGTAAATTTTACGCGCGCTCCACGTGCGCAAAATCCCACTTTTCACACATTGTAATGAGAAATATCGTTCGATACTCATGGGAAAAGTGTTTTTTTGGCCGAAGACTCGTGCTATAAACCTCCCACGAGTGAAAAAACACTTTTCCGCACTTGTATCGAAATATCCTATTTCATCATTTGAGCGTAAAGTGAAATTTTACGCACGCTCCGCCGTCGGTGACTGCTACGCAACTTTTACGCTTCAAAAAAAGTTTGTTTCGGGAGTCAAAAAGTGCACATTTCGAAACGGTTTAGTGTGCCTGAAGCAGTTATTTTACGCACGCTCTTGAACTTGACTTTAATAAACTATTTCATCACTTGTACGTAAAGTGAAATTTTACGCACACTCAGCGTGCGCAAAATCCCACTTTTCACATATTGTAATGGAAAATAGGGTTTGACACTCATGAGAAAAGTGTTCTTTGACCCTTTAAAATTTTCACGGGGAAAAACACCTTTTTGTGATACCTGCCTTAAAAGTGCGCTTTTCATCCCCCAGATTGAATTTTTCAAGTTTTTCTACTGAAATTTTTTTCATGAGAGAAAAAACAGAATTGGGTCAAAAAATAGGAAAATTTATGCCGAGAAATTCTTGTAGAAAAATGTCGCAATAGAATAAGTTGCATAAGGCCTTTAAAAAAACTATTGATTTCTATTTTTGTGAAATTTTTTGTGTTGAACATACAATTTTCGATAAAAATCTGATGGAATTATTTAGCTTATGCACTAGATTTCTCAATTGATTTTTTTCACACGTACGTTCTGAATGGGTGCGAATGCAGTCATTGTAATCCGTATAATCTCGGATATGTTTGAATATAAGTATCATACCTTATTTGTAGAAAAAAAAAAGTGGTAAACCAGTTCAACGATGAATAGTTCATGGGGTGAACTGAAGGACAACGACGTGTGGCCTTGATTGATCTTGGGACAAGGATGACGTCTTTCCGAGTATAATCTTTCCATGACTTCTTTGAGTCCCAAAGTGAGAGAGGGAGTGAACGAGTGACAGCGGTGAAGGTATTTTTTAATTTGAGAAGTTGATGTGTTTGAGGAATAATTTTCACGCAGTTTTTTTTGCTTTATGCATGGGTTATCGAAAAATTAATGCAAAAAGCCAAAAAAAATTATTCGTCATTGATAATTTTTCTCACGAATTCTAACTTTGTTCGGTATAATAAATTGATCCATCCAATTATTTCGTCAATTATTTTTTTAAACAATAGTCTCTCGTTTCACTAGGGTGTTTCGACATGACGCGCCATTTCGGTCACGCAGGAACATGAATTATTTATTATGAAATTTTGACACTGACGATAATTTTCATGTTCGGCATATAATGTCTATTTATTTTTTTCTGTTTTTTCAAGATTTTTTCTAGATTTTAGAACTCCGTTGGACTCGCAAAAGTTACGAACGCCGTTGATCGTGCGGTAAGCACCACGCCGCACGACGAAATTATCATATTTAAACGAATGATGAATATAGGAGAAAGGACCAGATATTCTAGATGATTTTAATCATTTGTTAGTTGAACTTGGATCAAAAATGATTTTTATCGGTTGAATCACCGAAAAAAAAGATCGTAGGGAGGAAATTACAGTTTTTTTTAATCATAAATGATTAATTATAGCAAAATTGGTTGCTATGACTAGTACGATAATCTCTACTGATGAACTGACTTTTTGCGATAAAAAGATGAATGTCTATTTAACGATAGTTCTAATCATATTCATAAAACTGTTATCCCGAGTCAAATAATTGAACCTGGCAAGTCCTACTTAGGTCTTTCCGTTCAGAACTGGATAGGTCTTGGGAAGCCTCTTCCCAAGGGCTTCCGAGACCTTTCTACCTCCGGTTATGTCCCATTTCGGCACTCGTTAGGTGTAAGCAGGACTTGTATTCAGACTTTCCAAATCCTTACCGCTCCCCGTAATTCTATGGGCCTATATTAAATTCGGATTCATATCCCTGGTAACGCATGCGTTATTGAAATAAAACATAAAATTATTGTTTTTATGTCACTAGGGCCGATAAACCACGATTCTAACCTCGTTTCGCTCGGCTAGGTGGCGGTTTTCGGGCCCAATGACATAAAATATCGAATGTCAACAGATAATAGTTTTATCGCCTAATTACGTGATATACTAGTTTTCAATCTCGAAAATCAACATTTCACGAGAGGGTGGAGGAGCGACGCACGTATGCGGAGGCTTGAAATTTTCACTCAACAAGGGGAGAAGGTTGCAGAATCTATTCTAGCCACCCTTGTCACTGCGCTTGCATGCGTTGTCTGAATAAAAAATGAAATTGTTCACAAATCCGAGCCTTGTTCAAAGTGAAAATGAAATTTTTGTATTTCGACATTTCTGGCGCCTCCCAGGGATTCATTGGCATTAGAGAGGCCAATAAATACAGAATGAACGTTCATCCGGCTC